TCTTAGCTCAAGTAGATACAAGAGCCTAAACGGGCAGCTTCTGTTAATAGGTGAGATGGAAAGGCAGAGAGGGTTAGGAGCTGGCTGAATGGACATGGGGAATCAGGGGTGGAAAGGAGGAGTGTGCTGTCACAGTATGGGGAGAGAGGTTAGAGTCACATAACAATGTATTTTTTTTTTTTTTTTTGTATGGGAAAAATAAATAAATAAAATCAGAGCATCATTAATCCCAAAGTCTAAAGTTACAGTGGAAACAGACCTTAAAAACAACTTACTGTCTTTCTATTGTTAGGAAATGTCCCCATTTCTCAGTCCTCCAGAAAGACCCAGAGCAGCAGTTTAGCTGAAGCTGTTCCCACAGAAGCTGTTTCCAAAAATAGGACAAATTGCTGAAGAGACTCGCTTAGGCAATCTACACTGGAATTTTCCAGTTGGATCTCTCAGTTTCCAGCAAGTTGAGTGAACAAGCAGCCTAGAAATGGGGTTATGTTCTGTTTTCAACCACTGTAGCACAGGGTTTATGTTACCTTCTAGTGAGTCTTCATCCCGGTTTTCAGCCAGAGCTGTGGTTCCCTGAAACAAAAACCAGCTCCATAAGAAAAAATAATTTTACCAGTAAAAAGCTTAATATCATTACATGCTTTCTTAGAAAAATCTAGTTCTCAAAAATAATAGCTAAAACACTAAGCTCCGTTTCACTCAAATTTGTTATCAATTTTGATTAGAAAAATCTTTAAATGATATGACAACTATGAAATGGGTGAACGGAGTCAATAGAAGAAAAGTCACAAAGGACGAGCAAGCTCAACAAAGGCCTCTGGCCTCCTGGAAGCTTCTAGAAACTAACTGACATCCTAGGGAGCCAGGCTAGGAACCAGACACCAGAGACCCTGGGATCCAGACCCATAGCCTCTCTACTAGGTGCCCCACCCTCTGCCTGGAGCACTGCCCTTCCTTCCAGGAGATAATCTGCAAATTCTACACAAGCACATTCTCCTCATGGCCTTCTAATCATGGCCCAGCCCCATGTCTCAGCCAAGGACCAGCACAATAGATGCTTAAGGAAATGTGGAGGTTACAGCAAAGCAAACTCATTAATGTTCTTATGTCATCAGAGAAGGAAATTCCAGAAGCACTCCTGGAATAAATCTAGGTTGGTTAACCCAGACCCTGTTGGCTCTACTGGGGCAAAATAAATTTTCTTGACTCCTCTCTATCCATGCCTATTGAGAACCTATTTCTTTTAAGGACATAAGGCTGTCCCAAGGAAGCACACCATCCAGAAAGGACAGCTTAGCTCCCGGCACCAGCAAGCTTAATTAGACCTCCCTTGCTAATCACAACAAGATTCTACTGAGAGCCAAAGATCCACTCTTTCTCCTTTTCAATCTATCTGAAATTATGTCCCCCTGCCCCCCCCCCC